TCCAACGTCTGCCCGAGAAGAGGTAGGAGGCCTCTCCTGAGATAGCAACTCGGTCGGATCTATAACCGGGTTGGCATACTGGGGGAACCTTAGTCCAGGAGTTTGTCCGAACGTTCCCAAGGAAGAAGAGATGCCTTGTGCTCTTAGGCATTCTTCGAAAGATGGGGTGACTTCTATCACCGATCAATAAGTGCCACTGGAGTTGGTCGTGTTGGTGGTGGACTCGGTCTCTAAGTCCACACTGTTTGGGTCATAAGGAACCCTAGTTGGTTTTTAAGGCGACATTATTCACCCGGTCGGACGCATAGATTCGCTTGTCCGCTTTGGTCTAAAGAAGGATAGTCGAAACATGGTCGTATGATCCCTAGTGGTCCCGGAGTTAATTAGGCATAATGTTACCATTGGGAGACCAACGCTAAATGCGGCAAAAGCAGTCATTGTCCCTCACTTATTGTAAATGAAGTTTGAAAGGTTAGACGATAAGATTGGCTCCATCCATTCAAGGAGACCAATAAATGGAAAAAGATTGCTACCAATTGGTTGTGAAACACAAATCACTCAGAGTATTGGCTGAGCAAAACAAAAAAGATGGGTCTCTCTCAACACAGTCGACCGGCAAGAAACTCAAGTTAGTAAAAAAAAGCCTCATAGAAATTAATGACAATCGATCGGCGAGATGACCTGAGGCCCTAGCTAGGCGGGTAGCATATAGACATAGTGCTCGACCCAAACCAACCAGATCGGAGGATTGAGGTTAGCACTATGGTTGTTAAAAACCTCAACAATGATTTTGTAAATTTCTTAAGAGAATTTAAGGATATCTTTGCTTTTAAAGTACATGAGAAGTCGGGCTTAAGTCCAAGCTTGGCCGTGCTTGAATTGGCATTCAACTGTGCAGTTAAGCAAGTGCAGCAAAAGTTAGAAGTGAAATCAAGGTGAAGAGCGAAACTAGGTAGCAACTTCCGATGTAAAAAAACTATTGGACTCCGGATTCCTTCAGCAATGCTTTTACCCAAACTAGGTGGCTAATGCATGTATTCTTTGTCAAAAAGCTCAATGGGTCTTGACGGATGTGTGTGGACTATACGAACCTCAACAAGACATGTTCGAAAGATAGCTTTCCCTTGCCTAAAATCGACTGTTTAGTTGATTCAACGATCGGCCATGCCTTGATGAGTTTCATGGAGCACTCTAGATTTCATCAGATTCCCTTATGGGAAAAAGAATTTTTAAAAAAATTAATCAAAAGCCCTGCATTTGTGACCAAGTAGGGGTTGTATTGTTATAATGTCATGACATTTGGCTTGAAAAATACCCTGGCCACTATTCAACGGCTAGTTAACACAATCTTTAGGGACCAGCTCGGTTGGAATATTGAAGCTTACATTGATGATATGATCGTCAAATCCAAAGAGAAGACCAATCACCTACTTGATCTCTAAGAAACGTTCACTAAACTCAAGCGGCACAAGATGATGCTAAATCCTAGAAATACATCTTTGCTAAATTTCACGTTTTTTATTGACATGGTAAATTCTACTTTACCAAAAATTCATGTCTCCATTAATCATTTAAAAAAACAAAAGAAGTTCCCATGAATCACTAAGGCCCCGTTCTTTAGACTAACTATGCTCTGCTCTGCAATGCTCTGATGTGCTAAAATCTACTCTGATTTGTTGAAATATGTTATGCTCTACTTCAATTTGCTTCGCTCTACTCTGCCCTGCTCTACTTTAAAATAATACTTAACAATGAATTATTATTATTATAATAATAATAATTAATATTTAATAATAATAATAAATAATTAATAATAAATAATTAATATTTAATAAACTAATAATAATTAATAGTTAATAATAATAATTAATATTTAATAATAATAATAAATAATTATTATTTAATAATTATAATAATAATAATAAATAAATAATATTTAATAATTATAATAATAATTAATATTGAATAATAATAATAATTAATATTTAATAATAATAAACAATTAATAATAATGCCCTAAAAAAATTAATAATAATGAAATCAGCTCAGCTCGGTTCGGCTCTAGTTCAATCTACTCTGCTCTACTGACTCTTACTCTGCTCTATTCTGCCCAGAAGCTCAAAAGAACAGGGCCTAACTATCTAGATCATGGGTTATTTGGAGTTTGGCCCAATCCTATAGATGGGTCTTGGAGTGAAATCTTGGGTCATATACACTACAATATGTTTGGGTTAATAAACTAGAATTTGAGCCTAAACCAAAATAAATAAATAAATAAAAATAAAATATATAAATAAACTAACATTTGAGCCTGGATAATGTCATAGACTACATCGTCAACATGAATAATAATTAGTTATTACATGAAATAATGACTAATCTTTAAGGAAAAAAAAGTATTTATTTTTCTTTATTATAATATTTATTTAATGTAAAGTATTACTTGATATGTTTTTGCTTTTTAGTGTGGTGAAATATCTTATACAAACCATTTTATGATTTTCAACATGTGAGTAGATGACATAAAGAAAGGAATACTGGAATAGCGCCACATAAGAAAAAAAAATTGACGAGAAGAAAAAGAATTTCATTAATGAAAGATAACCAAACGGAAATTACAAACAATTCCTAAGAAATCTTAAATTCCAATAAAAATAAAAAACACCTTAGAACTAGTTACATTGCGGATTCGATCAACGATCGCCTTAATAAAAAAAACTTCATTTGAAACAATACAATCTGTGAGTGAGCACTAATTTGGCTTGAGATCCATGGATGAGTACGCAGTTGTTTGGGTGAAGAAAGTCATTTGGTCTTTTAGATATTTTCGGAGATGATGAAACCCTAGTCTTCAATCTTTAGCACACGAACAAACAAAAAAAATTAAACTTGATTGAATAAACTCCATCTTAAAGATGGGATCCATTTATTTAAAGCAATTAAAAAGTTTTTTTAGGGCGTACCACCGGCCCTACAAAAACTTACAATTGAGATCAGAAGAAAAGAGATGGAAGAAAAGAGAAAAAAGGAGTTAGCCAATTGTATACATTTTATAAGCAATGTTTCATTTATCATTTATATTTTTCACTTTTAGCTTTTCATAGTGTGCTAAAAACTATGTGTATCATTTTTCTAAATAAAAAAAAATTATAATATTTAATTGATTAAAACAAAGAAGTAATGGAGAAATGAACTATCTTTTAGGGGAAATGTTTTTATTTTTATTTTTATTTATTTTATTTTTTCAACCAAATAGGGCTTCTTTTATTTGAAGATAGAGGAGTTCCATCTAGCGCAACGGCAAAGGTCATTCACCCCAGTATGCTATCAAAAGTATAGCTTGGTTTTCTGATTACATCTCGTCCACAAATAAGAAATTTTGAATTTTGGTACCTTGAAAATGATCCCAATTGAATTTTCGCATCCGTTTAAATTTATTTTTTTTAATTTTAATACCCATTAAAGTCGTTAAATATAGGTTTTGGTACCTCCGTCCAACTTCTGTTAAATTTTTCCGTTAGTGGGCCTATTATCTAGTAATTTATTAAAAAAAAAGAAAAAAATTAAAAAAAAAAAAACCAACCACCCACTGCCACCCTTCCCCTCCCCCCCCCCGTCAGCCACCCTTTCTCCTTCCTGTGCCGGCTGCCGGTGCCCTAATATTCCTCCGGCACCTGCGAGCCCACCTCCTCCCTTTCCCTCCTCTGATCTCACCCTCAACGACTGCTAAACCACCATACACTGTCGCACAATTGCCCTCGAAAACAACCACTGTTCGCCAAAAACAATGCCCCTCTCTTGTTCGCCGACCTCTTCCCTCCCCTTGAAACAACCACCCACTCCCCTTTTCGCCGCCCCTTGAAACCCTAAAACCCACCTGAAACAACCCGAAAAACCAAACCCGTTAAGGGTTTTTAAACAACCCAAAAAACGAGTGGTTTTCTAGGTTGTATCAGGTTAGTTTTGCGGGGGATGGCGCAAATTAGAGGTGAATGGGAGTTTCGAGTGGTGGTGGTGGCGACTGGAGTGTGTTCGACGGATTTGGTGACTGGGCTGCGATGGGCGGTGGCTGTGTGGCGGTGGTGTGGTGGCGAATTGGATGTGGTTGCGCGCAAGGGGTAGTTTTGGTGGTGGTTGTATGGTGGCAAAATAAGGTGGCTGCGTACGTCGTTGCTACGTGGCTAAGGGGTGGCTGGAAGGTGGCTGAGGGGTGGTTGGAAGGTGACAGGATCCCACAAACGGAAAACTTAACAAAAGTTGGACGAAGGTACCAAAATCTATATTTTTTACATTTGATGGGTACCAAAATAAATTAAAAGAAAAAAATATTTAAACGGGTGCAAAATTCAATTGGGGTCATTTTTAAGGTACCAAAATTCAAAATTTCCGCAAAAATATTTCGTAGCCATCTTTATTTCTCAATACTCATGCTGAGATGAAGCCTGTCATCGCATTGGTGATGAATGTAGATGAATAAGTCACATTGCACACAGACTTAGCCAACAAATCATCTTATTGAATTGATAAAGATGGCACTAGCAATACTTACTATAGTGTATATAGTGTGCATCAAGTCAAGGATCATGCGTAGACCATATTTTCCTTGAGAAGCACATATTGGCCCAATGCACACGACAAAAAGAGCAACAAAAACACTGTAATACTTCCAAAACACAAGTTCAGTCAACTTAGACAACTCGCCTATATGTGCTTCAATCTCCAACCCACCATCGGCCTAGGCGCCTAATTCTCAATCCCTCTAACTCAGTTGGCTACACGAATGAAATAAACCTTAATTTTGTTTCGGATAATTTTTATTTTAGTGATGCAGACAAACAGTGATAACATATTAGGTTAGTGATGCAGTTCCAATTAAATTTCCCCAATTATATCCCAAAAGCCATGAACTGGTTGATTACTTGATTGTATCCAATAAAATCTGGTTAAAAGAGCCTCAACTATCAAAAGGGAAGAAAGTATACAAATCACACTCCTGTAAATATTCTCACAAATTTTAAAATTCATTAACCATCCACCCAGCCAATACCTGAAGCAATTCAATATAGTAGGATATAAATGGACTACAAGTCAACCACAAAGAAGCTTCAACACTAAACACAACTTAAAAAAACATCAAGAACATCATGTAACATTTTGTCACCTACATGGTAACAGATAAAGCTAGAAATATATCTCACATGAAAATGGTATCTAAAGTATTAGATTTAGAAATGGTTATTCACAGTGGTTCTCAAGAGAAGGTTACGGAGACTTGTAAAAGGGTTTGGATCATCAAGCACAATCTACCCACTTTTTTTCTTTTTTCTTTTTTTTTTTTTTTTTTTTTTTTTTTTTTTTTTATCGTTTTGCCTTGGGTTTCAAAGACTTAATCCATGATAGGAACTGTCCCGCCATTTTTCACAATCTCTTGCTCCAGCTACAATGAACAATCACAGAAAAATGAGGTGTTATCAGGATTTCTTAGAAAAAAATGATTAAGGCAGAAGAAATGATGCTGGGTAATATGGTAGAAAAAGAAATCTCCTCAATACTTCTCTGCCAAAAGGGACAAAGGGGAGAACAATTGACATTAGGCACAATAATACACAAGAAATTATAATAGAAGAGAACTGCCTCCTCTAGTGCTACCAGTTAGTACCTGGAAAAGGATTTCGAACTTCTTTTTCAGAACAACATACTCCTGCTGCAACTCTTGCAGACACGCAAGACATCTGCATCAAATGGACAAAAGATCAGAGTTATCAAATTAAATTAGCATAACTATGATGTAATTGTAGCAGTAGTTTGATGGATTAAAAGCATGAGATGTTAAATCAGAATCATAATACAAAGTTAATATTATATGATATATACCCTTCAATCCTTCAAAGCCTGATGACTAAGCCCTGTATAAATAATGAATAACTTGTGCTAATTGTGCAAGAATAACCATTAAGTAAGAAGGAATACTAAAATCATTTTATTGACCATGATAAGAAATAATTATCATACTCATTCAAAAGAGAGATAATTTAAATATTTGATATACTTTTGGAAAAACTAAGAAACCAAAGGGTAATTAGATCATCAGGGGAAGAAACTGACTCTTGGAAAGTTTCAAACAGTCAACAGAAAGGGGGGGTCAGAAGCGGAGAAGCCCCATCATCATACTAGCATTAGCCCTAAGGTAAGACAAGTATACGATAAGGGTGAATATACTAGACTACCTATATGATGACCTTTACACTAAGGTTTCCCTTACAAATAATATGAAGAATACACCAGTCTTATTCTGGAGTTTGCGTCAAACCAAGACATCTTTTATCAACATCTTTTATCAATAATATAACTTTATAATATGAACATATAACCACTACACCTTCACCAATTCCTTAGCCATGAACAGCAATACTATAACTTTGTAATATGAACATGTAATTTATCAATAATTATAAGAACTCTTTGAAAACAAGAGACCTAGGAGGCTAGGACCCTAAATATTTCTAAGAGTTATGTTATCAGCATAACACTATCAATACTCCATTTGAGCATACCAAATTTCTTAATCTCTGAATACAAAAGCATGTATAGTCTGCCAAATGAGATGTTATTTTGATCTTAGTCAACTTTGGATCATGTCTGCAATGGCAAAGCTCGTGAAACAACACATACTGTAGGATAAAGGGTGATACCGTGATAGCATCAGAGATCAGATGAGATAAATGTCAATACCAAAATTAATCTAGCAATTAATCCTAGAAAAATCTTTGGAGGCATCACACTTATTTGATTGAGAATGAAGAAGAAAAGGTAAGGTAAGATGTAAAGTTACAACATAGTCCTTGTACTCTTTATCTGCCAAGAGTGGGTGATACATTAATTTCCAATCATTCAATAACATAAACATATATATATTCACTACACCTACAAAATGAAGGAAATGACAGTTTAAAGTTCAAACACTTTAAACCGCAGAAAAAGGGAGGGAATTTGAGTATCAAGCATTCAGTATCAGTAGACAACTTACCCATCACGATTTTTCTCCTCGCAAAAAGCTCGAAACTTAACACATTGGTTTTTGACCCTATGTGCACCAATGCTGTGAAATACAACAAACAAATCACCCTCAAGATGTGCAAATTTAAACACTTCAGCAACAAATTATCTAGTGAACATTCAATAACCAAAGTTACATACTCGTCAACTACCAACAAGCCAAGCAAAAAACATGATTTAAAGAGCAGTTTTGAAGACAGATTAATAGATCATTTATTTTTAATTTTCAAAATATTTTGAATTTATTGTAGATTAGGAAGACACCAATCGTCGAAAGGCAAAGTGCTGATCCTAAAAATATGGCATCAATTATATTGGAAGGAGCTCAGCTCTTTCCTCTCCTTCCTCTTACCAGCAGATCTTTTGTATTATGTATAGAACTAGGAAGATTACGATGGTATACTTGCATCAAAATTAACTTATTAGGAATTTATGAAACTTTTATGCACATAAGTGCCGTGCACCAAATTAAGTATTGTATCAATTTTCTTGGGTATGGACCATGTATATTAAATCAAGTATGATACAGGTTCCTGATGGAGGATACTACAAGCTTATAGATATTCCAATGAGTAACTACAATGGTATAAACAAAGTATTCATCTTAACACAGTTCAATGGAGCTTCCCTTAATCGCCACATATATCGAACTTATCAAGGGAATGGTATCAACGGTTGTGACGGCTTTGTGGAGGTAAACTTCTGATGTAATATAAAACTGCCCAATTTAAGATGTAAGATTGAATTTCCTAATCATATACGAGTTGCAAAATTGACCGCAGATTATGTAACAGATTTTGGCAGCTACACAAACTCAAGGAGAAACTGGAAGAACTGCAGATGCGATCAGACAGTTTATATAGAGGATACAACGATTGGTTTCCAAGTTCATTAAGTGGTATTTGGAAACCTATAGATTGGTATATATTGGACTGTGGAAAAAGAGTATGTGCTGAATGTCTCTAATATATGCAGGACGCATCGACGCGAGGATAAGAACATTGAGGATGTTTTAATCTTGTCTGATGACCGGCTATATCAAATGGACTATATGGAAAATCACTCCCCTCCACCCCAACCCCGGCACCAAAAAAGGCTGTACTAATTACAAAGTTACACCAAATATTCTGATCAACACAAGACCAAGCATTTAATCAAGATATTATCAGTATTAATTCAACAAAATTTCAAGTTATGCCAATTTTAATTCACAAAATTTTAAGTTATGCAACTTTTTAATTCAACAACATTTCAAATTACATCAATTTTAATTCAAGATAGAATTTCAAAGCCCAAAAAAGATGTAGAACCCTGGAAAATTACAAAATTCAAGACAGGAAAATACCTAGAACTACTCCCCTTAAACTGATGAGCATGATTTGCCACTTGGTTGAAATCTACAGCAGGCTGCTCACTGTATAAGGGAAAAAAAAATCCATCACAAATCAATGAAATAAAGTACAATTGAATTAAAAAATTACAACAAACTAAAATGAAAAATACCCAGGAAAAAAAAAAAAAAAACTTACAGAGCTTTGCTCAAATTCTCAAGGAGCTTCTCAGAATCTTGGAAAAAAAAGAGTAACAACTTCAATAACAAAATCTGGGCTACTCTCATCAGCCAATTTCTGCAATTGGTTGAACTGATCATCCAAATAATGCTGCAAAAATGGTCAAAAATATTAAATCCATGATCAGATAAAAAAAAAAAAAAAAAAAAAAAAAAAAAAAAAAAAAAAAAAACACAAACCCAATTGAAGTTTGAAAACATGGATCAAAACCCAAAAATTTTTAAGTTGATTTACCTCCCTGTACAAAGACTTCATATAGTCGATGACTTGCCTCTGTAAGAGCTGAACAACATCCATGATTTTCTCTCTCGTGTTGAACTCTTACACACAAAGCAAATGTTTGAGATTGAGACTGAAATCAATGAAGTTCACGCAGAAAGGAATATATCCCAGTTTTTTTCAGACAAAATTTAGTTTTAAAGGAATAAAATTGATACACTAATTGATTGAGGTTGATACTCCTGATTGGGAGGATGAGGGTCAAAACCTCTTTTTTATCTTTTTCGTTTAAGCTCAATATATTGTACTCCTCCACCAAATACAAAGGTTGTTTTGATTTTTACAAGGAAATAAAGAAAGTTGTAAATTTTTTAAAACTAATGATTAAAAATAGAGGTGATTGTTTGCGGGGTTGGACGGGAAATGGGCCGGGCCTATACTTCATTTTTTGTCCAACAGGCTAATTGTAGCTAACCCGAGCCCTTTTATGCGGGCTTGATAAATTGTCCAAGCCCGCTCTATTAATGGGCCGGGCTTGCCCGCGGGCTCACGGGCCTAAAATATTTGTTTTACATATATCTAACACTAATTATTTTTTTTATATATCTTAAAAATTTCTTGGTCACTAATGATACTAGAAAAAAACATATTTAACTTGTGACATATGTTAGTGAAAAAAAAAAGAATGAACTTATTTAATACAAGTATAATGATTAAATATAAAATTGAAATAAATAGTTGTAGCTAATAATAGGTTAGAGTCCAATATAGTCTCTTTGTATTTATTTTCTAAAATATACTACATATTCAACTAACTAAAAAATCATTAATCTATTACTTTTTGAAATAAACGAGCCGGGCGGGCTAGCCCACGGTACATATTGTCTTGTCCGTGTCCGCCCATTTATATTAACGGGCCGGGCCTAGCCCGCCCAAATTTTCAATTTTTTTCAAAATGGTTGTCCAAGCCCGCTTATTTTGCGGGCCGAGTTGGGCGGGTTTAGCGGGTTGACCCGTCCATAAACAACTCTAATTAAAAATAAATACTTCCTCCGTTTTTTTTAGATGCAACACACCATTTAGCGCGGTAATTAAGAAAGGTGGGGTTTACATGATATAATAAACTTTAAAGTAGGATGAGTGGTTGTTAGGAGTGTAATTTAATGGGCCATGTGCTTTAAATAAGGGATATATTATAGTTTTTCCCTAAAGTAACTTTCATTTTATAGTGTGTTCCAAGTATTGTGACATTTCCTTTTTAGAAAAGTGTTGCAAGTAAAAGAAAACGGAGGAAGTATGTGAATATGGGGTTAGACTGTTAGAGAGATAGAGGGAAAGAAAAAGTAGTCGGGAATAATTGAAAAGATATACTTCCTCTGTTTTTTTATTATTGCACCATAGGGATTGGGTACAAATATTTTGGTAGTGGAAAAAAAATAAGAGAGAGAAAGATAAAAAATACAAAATTGCCCATGTGACATATTGATAAACTAAAAAGTAAGTGTGAAAAAGCAAGGGTATGTTGGGTATTTGTAGTGTGAACACAAATAATTTTTTTCCTAAAGAGGAAATGGCGCAACATTTGTGAAACTTCCTAAAAAGGCAAGTGGTGCAATAATAAAATAACGGAGGAAATATAAAGAAAGTGTTGAAAATTGATGTTAAAAGTACAAAAAAAATAAAGGAAAAAAATGACAACTCATCAAAAAAGAGGGTAATAATGTCAAAAATACAACCTTTAAATAGAAAGAGTCATTGTATTTTGGTTTACCCAAAAAGGAAATGAGCCTTTGTATTAAGGGACGGAGGGATTACTAGTTTTTAATTATTTTATTGGGGACTACGGACATGTGCAGTAGGGGTGACTGATTTCGGATTGGATATCCGAATCTGAAAATTTTTAAACAACTTAAAAAAGGAAAAATTGCAAATAAGAATACAACATTTGGCGTGTTTTTTTTAATAATACAACCTTCGGATTATACAAGAATATTAAAACCTTTAGGGGTATCAATTTTAAACAAGACAAAAACTTGTAATCAGTTAAACAAGTTGTTGATGACACTTGTCATCATATGATTGGCCTATATTAATACAATATTTTTTAATTTTTTAAAAAAAAATAAATAATTTTGATTAAAAAAAAAATCCAAGTCCTATTCTAGCAACCCCCTACGACTCCCTTCCCCGTCAAACAATATACCTAATCCCTTCCCTCGGCGACCCTTCTCCTCGTTGAATACAAATCACTCAACTCCTTCACCTAGCAGACGCCACACGAACCCCAGGAAAAGGATGAGCGGTTAATTAGGCTATAGAAAGGAGAGGTACCGCTGTTATTTTACGCTAAAGAAAGGGTGGGGATTGTTTTCGGGGTTTGGTAAGGGGAGAGAGACGGTTATCGGGGGTTGGGAAAGGGGAGGGATGGTTTTTTAGGGGTTGGGGCAAGGCGATGAACATTTGTGGGGTGGGGGGGAAGGGGAAGGACAACTTTTTGCAGTTGCTAGGAAAGGGGAAAGGCGGTTTAGTGGTGGGGGAAGGGGAGGAAAGGGGTTTTCGATGGGGGGGCTCGGGTTAAGGGTTGGGCTTTCGGAAGTGGTGCTTGTACAGGTGGAGCAGTGGTGGTGCTAGGGTTACGGGCGGGATTTAGAGGCTCTCAAAGGTGGTGTACAGGTGAAGCATTGGTGGATTTGACTGGGAGGAGAGAGAAAAGGAAAAAAATAACAAAAAAAATTTAAACCAATCATACATCGACACGTGTCATGGGTAACCTACTTAACATGTTATATCCGGTTTTGTCTTATTTAAAATTGATACCCCCTAAAGGTTGTAATATTCATGTATCTATACCCGAGCAAGGAGCATCTATTTCAATGACAAATGGCAGCTGAAAGTCAGTCAAAGACAGTATTGGTGGTGAAGCCATGACTTGTTTCAACTGCTAAAAAGCTGCATTATTAGCTTCAAAATTCCAAACAAAGGCTTCCTTCCTGAGTAAATTTGTCAAGGGTCTGCATAGCTTCCCATAATCCTTGAAAAATCTTCTATAGTACCCTGTGAGGATAAAAAATCCTCTCAGGTGCTTGAGAGTTTTGGTTAGGGCCAGTCAACTATGGCCTAAATCTTGTCAAGTTCAGTGAATACTCCTTTCTTGGATTTCAAATGACCTAAGTAGTTCACCTCTCTTGCACCAAAAGTGCATTTCTTCAAATTTGACTACAAAGAGTGAGATCTCATGAACTCAAGAACTTCCTACAAATGCTTCAGATTCTCATCCCAAGTAGGGTTATAAAACAAAATATCATTACAGAAAACCAAAATAAAGTTCCTGAGTTGTTGATTGAACACATGGTTCATTAATGCCTGAAAAGTGGAGAGAGCATTGGTTAGACCATATGGCAAGACTAAGTACTTTTAGTGTCCCAACTGAGTCTTAAAATAAGTCTTATGAATGTGATTAGGTTGCATTATGATCTGGTGGTAACCAAACTTCAAGTCGATCTTTGAGAAGAATGAAGATCCCTGCAACTCAGCTAGCAACTCTTTAATGATGGGAATGTGAAATTTATCCTTTACAGTAGCCTATTTTAAGCTCTGTAATCCACACACAGCCTTTAACCACCATCTTTCATCTTTACCAGAATAATAGGAGCAGCAAATGGGCTATTGCTATCCCTAATAACACCTTGGTCAACTAATTCCTTCACTTTCTTCAATCACAGTTTTCTAAGCAGCTGGGTTTCTGTATGGCTTGAGATTGATAGCTATAGTGCCTTCTTTGAAGGGAATTTGGTGGTAAAAAAGCACTCTAGTTGGTGGTAATCCTTCTAAAGCTTGGAAAACATCTGAAAATCTTTCAAGGAGATTAGAAATTTTAAATGACTTCTCAGCAATCGCTAATTGGGAGCTCAAAATGGGATTCCAATCTATAGTAGGGTAAACTATTTGTAACATGGATAGCTCCCCTGCACTTTGCAGTAACTTATTAAGCTGCTTAATAGGAATACCCTTGACTTTCTTAGCAGTTGCCCCTCTCAGATTCACCTTCTTCATTCCTATCTTGCTTGAATTCCATGGTTAAATTCTTGGAATCCAAAAGTATGAATCCCAATGTTGAAAACCATTGGATTCCTAGCACAGTATCACTTCCAATCAAAGGAAGTAACAACGTATCAGCTTTGAAATTGTATTCCTGGCCTGCATTTTCCACTCAAATCCTTTTATCATTGCTTTACACTTAAGTTGGCCACCATCTACTACCTTCACCCATATAAGTGAGACCTTCTCCACTTTGAAATTAAGCTTAATTAAGTACAGTTGGAGTGCCAATAAAATTGTGGGTGCTCCCACTATCCATCAAAATATGCAAGGGTTTCTTGCTATGCTACCCCATCATCTCATGGTATGAAAACTGCAGTGGTGTAGGGAATAAATTTCAAGCTTTAATCCCACTAGCTTGAACCCCACTGTGATCATACACTAAAGTACGGTGGCGTCCAAAAGGGAAGAAGATAGAGCAAAAGAGTCGCCAACAAGTTTTAGGAACTTGTAAACCGTTCATAGGATGAAGGTTACACCCCTTAACGATCCAAGAGATTTTCAACTTCATAAGGTCTAGAACCAAATAAGGGTTCGGGGATGAAGGTACAAATCCAACCTAAAAGAGATTGAACCTGCCCTAATAATAGGCCTCTACTTTATTCTGATCGTATTCATGTGCGCTTTTTAATTAACATGCAATCAATAGGATTAACCCTAAACCTGTTTATCTATGTTGGTTGAATTTAAATGCACAAATAAATCTATTATTGGTGATCACTTGAATTATAATCATATTAACCCTAAACAAGATTATTAATTATCTTATTAAGCGTGATTACAAGTACAAATTCCCTTTAAACATGCATAAAAGGTGTGATCAAGCAATAACAATAAATATAATCAAGCAACAATAATAAATAATCAATATCATGAATAATAATATCATCATAAATAATATAATCATCATCAAAATAATAATAATATTCATAATCAAAACCATCATAAATTACAACAATTGTAATCATAATCATATTTATGTTAATATTAAAGCATAATAATAGCAAGATCCTAGGCATGATACTAACAAGATTAATAACAAACCCTAGCATGTCACTAAGCAATAAAAATCAAATCTTTAACCCTAACATGATACTAACAATCATAAATATTAGGAAGAATATAGGAAACATCGTAACAATCATATTTAATATTAAAAATACCCTAGACATGATACTAGGAATATCATAATAACAATATAAACATGATTTCTACATCATAATATCAATA